ATGGGCTGCCTTTTTCTGGTTTTTTCTTGCAGGAAATCTGGAGTCAGTTTTACGTGTTTTAGCTTTAACAGGGGGTCTAATGAAGAAAGCACACACCCATTATCAGACTTAAAGGACACTTTTACAGATGGGCAAAAGAAAGAACTACAGTTTTAACATTATGAGCAAGAACTTTAAAAACTGGAGAATTTAGCAAGAAAGCATTCAGCATCTCCCAGGGAGGGACTTTCCCACTGCACCTATATTGCTTTTTCTTTAAAAACACAAAAATATGTTCTGCTAGTTGGGGACCCATATCTGGGCACAAGCACCTAAGCACACTCAGTGGCACCGACTTGGCTTGAAAGTTAAGAGAAATCCAAGATCAAAGAAATCATCCAAGATCCTGAGCAGCACTTTGCCTTTGCACCTCGATATCCATATTTATTACTATGAAGTAAAGAATTTTACCCACTCACCTGGGGCTTTATCCCCTTTAGTCCCCTTTAGAGGCATCCTGCCACTGCACGAGTTCCTGAGCCCACGAAAACCATGAGGAAACACTTTGCCCAAAGCCGGAAGAAGTGAAACCGAAATTAGGGCCAGGCGCGGCGTGGGAAGCGGGACGAGCGGCCGGGCCGGCTCCGGGGCGGGGAAGGGGCGGTGGCCCCGACAGCCGCGGGACGGACGGCCCCGGAGCCCCGGAGCCCCGCAGCCCCTGCCCCCCCCCGCTGCACCCAGCTGCCCGGGTCTGAAAGGTTTCGGAGGTGCCAAAGGTGGAGGTGGCTCAGAGTTGCGCTGCCACTTGTGATGGCTGACAGAAACCGATTTAAGCGCACAGACGTGTCACAGATGAGCACCAGCAGCATCACACAATCCTGCTTAAAACTCCATTACAATTTATTCCTAGCTGTTTCCAGTGTCTCTGAAAATCCTCGTGGGCATACCCCGAAAGCAGATACCCTGAACAACAGACTACTGACAGAGGAATATTACTTTTTTAATGGAGAAACAAATCACCAATGATACCTACAGAGCCATGTAAAATATTCCTTTTTAAAAGAAAATTTGTTTATGTGAGAGAGTAATATATTTCGTTTTTAAGAGAGATAATAAAATATTTTTTATCTTAAAAAAATGTTTTTAAAAGTCTAAGTAAAAGTTTCAGTTACAGCTTTTCATACTGTCCTTTTCATACTGTTTATGAATTCCTGTGTTCCTGCTTTCCCAAAGGCCTGTCCATCAGTTTTCCTGGAGAGGATTTCCTCGGTATAAGCCTCTGGATGTGACAAGAAGTGCTACTGCTTTGGCTGCATTGGCACTGATGAATCCTCTGCAGGGCTCATCCAGCTGTACTTAGGACACACCAACACCTCAATTTGCCTTACATATTTAAGTAGTTGTGCTGTCCCCTCTTGAGTGAAGACTGGGTAGCTGCAGACTAACACAGGAAAGAATAAATTGGGATCTATTTATTCACTGAAAGTGTTTGAAATGACAGCCTGCAGCAATGTGTTAACTGCTTACCCATCAGGAGCTCTGGGGAGGGAGGGAGCTTGTGCTGGTTTCTACCCTATATCACATTAAATCTGGGACTATTGAGAGATTTGCCCAGGAGGTAGGCTGGGTAACAAACAGGTTAGGGCCCTTACTTCCAGCTTCTGTTCTCTGAATTCTTTCAGCAACTGCTGAATATAAATTAGTATTTTTTCTTGGAGTTAAGACACAAACTGAGACCGGAACCAAGTTCCTTTGGAGCTGAAAGGCTCTAAAGCCTCTTTCATTCCCATTTCACAGTTAAACCTTGATAGAGTCATAGAATCATGGAATCAACTGGGTTGGAAAAGACCTCTGAGATCATCAAGGTCAGCCCTTGATCCAACACCGCCATGGTTATTAGATCATGGCACTAAATGCCACATCCAGTCTCATCTTAAAACCCTCCAGGGACAGTGAATTCACCACCTCCCTGGGCAGCCCATTCCAATGTCTGATTACTCTCCACCCGGAGGTGGTTTTAGCCACAGGACAGACATGCTTTCCCTGCCTGCAGAAATAGGACATGCTGCAGGGGAGTTACTCCTCCAGTAGAAGGCAGCAGCTTTCTGCTCCATACCACACATCCCGTTCCTTTTGCCTAATGCCCACGGATGGTTCTGAGGATCACGGTGCTCTGTGTCAGTGACAACAGGCAGCTGCTGCAGTGACAGAGGAGAAAAGGGAATCTGTGCCCCCACTGCTCCCTGCCCCTGCTGTGGGCGCAGCCTTGGCTTCAAAACGCTTGGCTGCTCTAGGGGAGGCTTGTAAGTTGAAATAAGTTTACAGGGTACCCAAAAAAGCTTATGCGTGCAGCTATCAAACTACACTTTACTCAGTATGCTGGTTCAAACCACCACCAACTACTTGAATGAATCAAAGCAATTTAAAATCTCAAAGTTGTGAGCCCCGATCTTTCTTAAACCACTGACTCAGAATAATTACTCAGGAGAACCTTGCCTAGGAGCTGAGAACTGCAGTTTGGCTGGCTTAAGAACAAAGGAGAGTCATATGCAGCAGAGGTATCATTTGTTTCATTCTCAATGTTGTCTGAAGCAGTCCTTTACAAAGCTGGGTTTGCTGGTGGTTTTTCTTGCTGAAGGTTTAAGCATAGGCAAGGCTGATAATTGGTACGGGATTTTTTGCTTAAGATGGCCATGTCTTGCATGTATTCATATTTCTTTCAGTGTGCCATTCACATACAGCTGTTGGACTTCAATGTCTGTCAGACATGGAGGTAGCAGGTCTCGGTGCTTTCACCAACTTTTGTCCTCAGCTTAACAAATTACCTTCAGCCATTTCCTGCCTAGACAGCTTTTCCAGGTGTTTCAGGTGTTTTTGTTAAAGAAAACTGTTTTTCTTTGCCTCTATAATTTTGTGAAAGGCGACCCTACTTTGGTCTTCAGTTTAAGCCGAATTACTCTTGCTGAGTTCTTAGATCTAGTCACTGTGAAGTGTGTGTATGATACCAGGCCCTGCCTTTGTAATGGTGTATCAAAAGCTGAATGTAAGAAACGTAAACACCCTTATTCATTGCAAGCAAAGGTTACATTTTCCTCATGAAACATGATGCAATGAGCACAAGTTTCTCTCTTAAGCAGTTTGCCAAAATAGTTCACATTAACTTTTTGTCTCCACTCTTCCTTATCCTGGCAGTTAATGTTGCTGTATCTTAATCTGAGCTAGCATGAAAAAAAAACCAAAAGCAACTGCATAAGCATTGCTGTCAAAGTACCTACGATTGTGGAGGTATCAGGTGGTAACGTGTCTTTGAGCCCTATGCTACTTCTTTCTTACTCCTTCAGTTTTGGCCTTCTTGTTCCCCTCAAAGTTCTTAATGACAGAATTTCTACACCTTTAAACATAAAGGCTGGAGACATGTTCTTTGCAAATACACATAAGTGGATATTAAGGTTTTCCAGGCAGGTTCTTGAATGCTCAATGAAGCCATTTTGCTGGGACACCATTTCTTGCTGCATTATTACAGTTTAATCACTGTAGCTTTTTTTAAGGTGCACAGAAAATGCAACTCTAATGCTAAACCATCACAAGTGAAACATCATTGATAACCTGAGATAGAGAAGAATGTGCATGTCACTAAAACTTCCACTTGACCCTACAGTTGGGATCAGCTCCTGAAGACACAAAAATAAGCAGGAACCTCGTACAGGAATGGGCTGTGCCTACAGTGACTCAGTCCCAAATGTCAAATTCACAGCAACACACACATTGCCTACAGGTACTGTGGCACTGAACAGAGACAGTTCCATCAATTACTGTGTTTACTCATCTGTTGCACTAGTTAAGAAATTAATTTAATGTCATATGAAGTCCCAATAATGCTAACAAAAGTAATGCAAAAGCACAGATCAAATCCTCACTTCTGTTTGCTTTTTGGACTCACAACAATTTATTTGATACTAAGGGTCCTGTTGCAGTCATCCCTATTTGCCAGATTGAAAGTAAAGCAACCTATTCTCTGATTACTTGCGTATTTAATCTAAATTTGTTACACTGCATAGCTGTAGTCTCTATTTCTGTCCACTATTCAGATGGAATGCTTTATTACAAGAAGCTCGTAATCCAAAGCAGTCCTATCTCCTTGAATGTTAGTGACCAAAGCCCTCCCATTCCATCCCCCGTTTCCTTCCCTCCCCACCCCAAGTTATTTTTGTCAAAATTGGATGCAAAACATGAAATAGCACTGAAACCAAGAGCAGCTGTGCAAACACCTGCAACAGCTCTCTCAGTATAAAATTTCAGTTTCTTCTGTCTCTTCAAGTGTTTTTAATATTGTGGTGTTGGAATAAATGGATGTGGGCAACAGATAGCCCTGCTGTGATATTTTAAATTCTCTCTGTGAAGTTCATTTGATGCTTCAGAATATCCCGCGCTAACACAGAATCTGCACCTTTTTCACCCCATGTCTGTCTTGCCCCCACCTCCCCTCCGACTGAGCACTTTGGTTGGCATTACTGGCCACACCAGGGTGACACCACCGTGACTTTAGTCAGACTTCAAGCTCCTGCCACCCACTTTCCTTATTGAGGCTGAAGGTTTTGCTCTCGCAGCTCTGGCCCTCACACAAACCCCTCTACCACATTGAGAAGAAGCTGCTACAGCATCCAGCTACAGACACTGTGCAAGTGCTACTTATCAGTGCCTTTTGGTAGGATGAGACACTGAGGGACCTAAACTTAAGTTCTGGAAGGCCCAGATACTCCCCCCTCCCCACTGAGATCTAAAGCAAAAAAGGGTCAGTGAGCTGCACTGCATTTTAATTGCACCAATACAGTTAAATATTAAATGGAGAAAGCACCTCTACATAGCAAATGGAGAACAAACATTTACATAGTAAAGCTGTAAGATGTAGAGACTATTAAAGTTTTACTCCAGTTGTCTATACATGACTATCCCACTGAGTTTTTGGTGTTAAAATTTTAAATGTAAAGCAAAATTAACATTTTCTGGTTCATATAGAATAAGCAAGTTATTGAGAAACAAAGTTTCCTCCCTCATAAGCCAACACTGATGGGGGGGGCAGGGCATGACACCCTGTGTTTTTTCATACCATTACTCCATCTAATAGCGTGGGTAGAAGAGAGCAACACTTTTCTGAATACACTTGATTTTCCCCATACACACATCACAAAGGGGCATATGCTGATATCTGCCAGGACAGTTACCCAAGGGGAGTTAACACTACCAAGTTAAACACTGATCAGCTGGGAAAAGAGTTCACTAGCAAAGCTATTCTCCCACACATGGTCAGTGCCAAGTGGAGAGAACATGTCACTGAAGGGCGACAGGGATCCTTCATACCCAGAGTCATTACAGGCATCCAACAAGTAGTTTGAGGCTTCAAGGCTACGATGAGAAGAAAGCAAATGAGAAATGCCCAGTTCAGGCATGAAGCTGTCTACAGGTTCCTCCTTCACAGACACTGGGACCTCAGGGATAGCCTCGTCTTCAGATGACAAGAGAGATTCTTTCTCAATTTTCACTAGCATATTGGTTTGGTTGCTTGCTTCAACAGGAATCTCCAGTATTAGGGGCTTTGTATATACATGATCAAACCTTATCAATTCATCAATGGCCTCCAGCTTAGCTGATGGGGACCCCAAAGGAGGAGAGATGGAGGTCGATATGGAATTTGTTTCTCCAAAGATCTCTTTCTCCAGCTTTTCCAGGCAGGTTGATTCTGAATCAGCACATCTGAGAAACATCTCTGGGTCCAGACTGTCCAGAAAGCCCAACAGGAGATCAGGCTCAGAGTTGACACAAATGTGGAAAAGGGTACCTGAGGACCGGCAGGCAGACTGTGTTCGTTAGCATTCTCCCAAACCTCAAGGACAGGAGAATTTGTTTCCATGCACTTCTTTTATATTCCTTTTGTGGAGTTAAAAAAATGTTTGTGAATAAAAGCTGCGAACATGACCTGAGCAGGTAGCTGAGAACTCCAGACATTGTTTTGGATTTAAGCTACCTAGTAGCCAGCCATGAGCAGTGGCTCTGGCTAAGTGTTTGTTACCTGAAGATAACATGCAAAATGCCAGCAAACATGCACAGATAAACTACAACATTTGCTCATCAGCTTTGACACCATGGTGTACAGTTTTCTGATGTGTTGCACTGACTGTAAAGATCAACTGCACCTGCAGAATAAGTCACATTATCAGAGCAGAACAGATCACATCTGAAAAATTCTGGCCCAATAAGAGCATTTATGAGAGCTCATTTCAGTACAATTAGGTTGCTTTACTTAGCCTACCCAGGATGCAAGTTAGAGAACTAAGATTTCAGCTCTAGGATGGATTCCTGTTCAAAACAACCTCTCCTCTCTTTTTTGTGACAGTAACAAAGGCAGCCTTTGCAACCCTTTTCTCTGCATGTTCCACTGCTCCAGCGAGGATGCATCACTACCAGTACACGTACTATGTCAGTGCCTTTACTTTCCATCCAGAGAATTCTAATCCCAAAGAGAGAACCATGGAGCCAGAGAAATGAGAAGTCAGTCACTTTTAAGTTAACCTTTTAGACAGGGTTAGAAGGTCAAAACATTTCACTCCATTATGCCAACATTTTTTAAAAGAGGTATCTCGATGTTTCATGTTTGCAGCACTGGACTTATGTATATTTTTTTCCTATTAAATGTTTTAGCTTTTTTTCATACTGACGTTGTAAAGAAGTTGGGATTTAGGAGTTGGATACCCTTGTATTGTGGAAATATTTTTCTACCTCTAAGAACCCTCCCCAAAAGGTGACAGTCTTCTTAAAATCTTGTTCTTTTCCAGCTTTCTCAATTAAGCATGCATATTAAAGATTTTTGATGTGCAGTAGTTTCTATTTAACAGCATCTCCCCGCAGAATTTAATTGTCTGGTTTCAGAATCCCTTCCTTTTTTTGATGTTCCCCTTTTTTTGGCAAATTTTCATTTATGGTTTTATGATATATTTCCAAAAGGAAATCTATATCCTTGTGCAGATCATATACAGTGGCTCCCACGCTAAATGGTTTCACTGTGAATGCAGCAAATTTTAATAATAAAGAAGAAATTCCATCATTTGATTTACATTCATGCTTGCAACACAGGTAACAAACACTAGGACAAGCCTACCACTTTTAGGAATATTTTCCCACCAAAGGCTATGCCTTTGATGGCAGTGTAACCTCTAGCTTCTGAAAATAAGCTGTATTTAAAAGAGCCACTGCTGCATTTTATCTTTCCATTTACTAAAATATCTATTCAGTTATACTCAGTATCTTTTTCCATAGATTTTTTTTCCTGAGTAGTCACTGTGGCCTCAAAGCCCTAAATGCTCAGATTCACTTGGAGCTCACATCAGGTAAGATGCACAATAGTGAATAAATATGCAAACACACTGAGATAAACCACCCTTTTTACTTCCCTACCCCAAAGAAATATTTGGCTCTGCTGACAGCTAACTTCAAATCCAAAATTACTTTTTCGCAATGGCCCCAGTACATGTCTTGTCCACACCTATTTTCTATTGTCTGTCATAAAAATATGGATACAGTAGCAATAAGTTATTCTTTAGGTTATTTTTTTCCTCACCAAAATAAATATATTTTCAACCCTATCTAACTTCAGTGGTATGAAAGGAGAGATTATCAACTGCCAGGTATTAAAAAGTTTCTAGGGTGTATCACAGCAGCCATATATATAAATTGCTGCATCTGATTTCATTTACAAGCTAGCAGTCAAATCATGAACATGCTTTTAAAAGTAGTGAATATTCCTTGTGAGCCTTACGGAAATATCACTGTTTACATGGTGCTAGTGGACTTCAGATAGATGATCTTGCTTCTGTATGTTCTATTAATTGTGTGTAATTTTTGGCAATGCTTTGTATTATTGTGAAGGATTCAAGGGTAGTTGCACATCGCTCCCAACAAGATTTTTTTAAATTTGTCTTAGATTAGCTACTGAAAACAGCAAAATATGTTTTTAGTTATAGTTTTTGGTTTGTTGAGCAGGATAGTCAAAGCAATTGTAACGGTCCTTAAGAGAACAAATATTTGGACAAAGTTTTCAAATAAGAAATACCAAATCATTTCAACTTTCTAATTAAATTTTGATATCTAGAAGTAATTTATTTTAGTAATGGGAAACGGGACCTGTATGTTTTCAATGTAACAAATATAAGACAAAATGATGAACTGAATAAATGTATACGATGAAGTAACATGATTCAATGTTCTTAAAATAAAACTTCTACAGGTGTTTAAAATTAAAATTTTTCATTCTGAATCAAAGTGAACACAACAGCTATTTGAATCCAATCAACAGCTCTTTTAGGTCCATTGTCAACAGCACCATTGTAGCCCATTCTTTGCAAGAGGAACAGAAAAAGTTAGGAAATCGTTCACAGAGAAGAAAAAAAAGAAACGTCAATCATAACTGCTAGAAAAACTAACAGGCTTTGACTGTAATCTTGTTAGATTAAAATCCGAGGACAGAATCCCAACACTTGTGCATTAAATTATTACTAAATTCATCTGCAGAGTTTAAGCATCTGTTGCTTTTCTAAGATTAAGATTGTGAAAGCTTTTATCTATAAATAAAGCATGGAACAATATCTTTCAATTCCTTTTCCTAGCCAGAACAAAGGAACAAAAAATAGAGAAGTATGTCTTATTGTAACTGGCTAAAAAAATACTAGGTTTAACAGATGATACACATTTACAATTCCATTGAATTTGCAAGACAAGTTTTATGTATTGAAAATATGACTGTTTTGGACAGCAATGTATCTACAAAAGCTGAAGTCCAAGAAAACATTTTAAAACCAAAATATAAAGCACCAGGCCTGATTCAATGTCTAGAAATTAGAGACTATTACAATTTTTTTCTATATTGCACAAAATGCATTAACTGGGATCAGTTTCTTTTTGCCTACAGCTTACTGCTTTGAGCATACAAAATAAATTTGGAAATATTTGTTTGCAAATACAGATAGGCATTTGCATATAAATATGGTCCCATGCATGGTAATGGCTGTGTTGTTCTCCATTAGCCAATACTGATAAGGGAATTTAATTACCTCATGCCTCAGTAACTTGGCTATAATTTTGATCCAGTGGGGAATTTAACAGAATAACAGCATAACATTCAGACTAATTTGCATTAGGGAAAGTTAAAACTGAAGAACAGTGTTAAGGAAGTATGAGTCACCACTCTGTTTAGCACAACTAAAACAGCATGTCTGTAACATTGGAAACTGATTATCTGTTGGGTTTCCATTTTCTCAAATATTAGGGGGTATTTGATGATAATATAAATGGGCAGTGAAGGCAAAAAGAAATCTTCCAGTGTGTCGTGCATCTATGAAAGAATGGAAAATGAGATATAGAAATTATACACTTAAAATATGGGTCCCTGCTGCAGTAATGAGACTTCACCCCAGGCAGACAGAAACTTAGGAATCATAAGGATCAGGAATCAGAAGAGAGCATATAATAAAATTCCATCTAAGACTGACATTTTGCTCCCTAGCAGGTTCCACTGGGTGGATTCTGACCTAATTTACCAGAAGTAAGGATTTACCATTCACTGCTAGGAAATATGCAAGATGACAATGAAGGTCACCACAGAGATCTGTCTAATGAGTTGTTAATATCCATTTGAAACTTTGTGTTGTGCATCCAATTGCTGATCATTGTTAATTAAAAAAGATATTGAGAGCTAGAATGATTCTACAAGAGCTGATTTTACATTCTGCAGAGAATCTTGCCAAATAAAACCTGGAAGTGACAGTCCATGTCATTGAAACCTGCTTCCTGCTTTTACAAACTGTTCAAAAACATTGTAGATCAGGAGGATCCACAGAACATCAGCACAGACCACTATCCTAGACCACAAAACATTACCCACAATGTAATGAACCTAAAAGCTGCAGTAAAAATCGAAAAGCAAACAGAATATTACACAGGAAAAGTACAGGAGTGAGAACATTGACAATGGTAGCATCCTGCAATAAGAAAATTTGTTATGGGACTGTCTATAACATGTACAGGGCAAAGAATGGCATCTTTGCCTTAATAATGACCAATCGAATAAACAAAACCAGTCAGGAATTTTTTATTAATTGCCAAAGATTAAGTCCACAATTATAATTCTGCCATCATATGCATCTGTTTAGCTAATAGCTCCAACTATTTGGACATCCATGAATTTTGGTAAGAAATGAAGTTTCAGTGTATCTAAATAATCTACTTCAGCTCAGCATGCATGGCTATGTCAAGCATAATGTCTAATTCATATGCTAGGTTCCCTAAAAATGACTTCACCTTGACTTTTCCTTTTAATTCCACCACACAAGTTAGGTGTTGTATGATGTTTTTCATACTGGGCTGCTCCTGATAACTCTGAGAAATACTTTGTAAAATGACAATCATCTATCTACATAAACATGACCATCAATCAAATTAATTTCCCTTCAATTGAGGTTCAGCATCTTTAATCTATATACCTAATATCTGTACCTATAATTGAAACAGTTGTATGTGTATACAGCTAAAGTGTCTTGAAACAGTTATTTGTATCCCCCAAACTGTAGAATTGCAATTACTACAGCTTGTAAGAATCTGCTTTGGAAGTGATCTTCCTTATGGTACTTTGTAAACAGACAGTGGATACTATGCATCTTTTCTGTTTTGAATTCCTTGTGTTAACAGTACTGGGAAAAAAACAAACCTTCAGCTAAAAGCACTGAAACAAAAAACAAACTTTTCATTTGGAGAAACCATAGGAGGCAGGGAAGACAGCAGATTTGATCC